CGACACGCCGGACAAAATCTTTCCCTTAATATACCTTTCCCTTCCATCTTTGATGGTACGGGCAAGGTAAAAATTCACATCATTGGGGCATTTTTCGTGACTGATGGAGATCGTATTATTCAACATTCAACGTATTATGTAACTACTACATGTAGTTAATAATGAGGTATCAAGTTTGAATTGGAAGTTTGAAAAAAAATATGTTCTTATAACAATTTTTTCAATGTGCATGACAAAGGCATTATGATAGAGCTTGGACACACAATGTAGGTTATAGGCTACTAGTAATTCCCACACAAGTATCATATGACAAGTGCATCTCTGTCTTGAAAACAACTAGATTGATATGCACAGTCAATTTTTTTTCTTGACAAATCACCAAAACAACTATTATACAATTAAAAAAAACAAGTATAAGCAAGAGATTTTGTTATAGACAGTCTTTGCAAATATCAACTTTTAATTTAATGAATGCCAAATCTATCCCACAATGCAATAATCAAAATGGATGAATCTATTACATGTATGTACAAAAATCAATGTTTTTTTCGCTTTGATTTCTTTTTCTTTATTGACTTCTCACATTCAACATCACTTATACTCTTCTTCCTTTTCTTAGATTTCTTTTTTCTTTTGACATGTTCATTAGTGCCACTATTTTTGTCCAATTCATTGTTTGCACTGATTTTTATTTCATCCTTGAATTCAGTTGGTAACTTGTTATTACTATTGCTTTTGTCATCTTTATTAATAGCTTTACTGCAGACAGTTTCCAATTTCTGTTGCTGTAGAACCCATTTTTCTTGGTCTTCTATTCTTTTCAATTTTCCATTCAGTTTCAGTCCATGACGAGCAGCTCTGTGACAAACGTGAACAGTTTTAGTATACAACAGACTTGCACATCATTGTATGCATCATGTAACAATTTTTAAATACAATATATTCACATTCTGCGCCATTTGTGAGATGACATGAATACTGTATTCACTCGATTGGAAGTGCATTGTAAATGTGTGTTGAACATAAACTAAATGAGGTTGGTTCACTCTCAATACAAACAAAAAAACATAAACCATCATTAAAGATGCTCTTCTAATAGAGCAAATATGCAATATAAATATGCATCATATTTTTATCTTTTAGCGCCCTATTTATGATAATTATTTAGTATACTGTTCTTGCAACTAATTAGTAAAATCAAGAGCTTGCAACGTTCTTTAATTTCACACGACAGATTTTCTTCAAATTTGCAAGTTCGTGAATGAATGTTGTAGCAATGACTTTTGCAAAAAATGTTCTCACAAACATTACAAGATCAAATTGTGAATTTTCTTAACAGTGAAAATTAAAAGGTTTACATTATTATTAGGAAGATAAGATTTTCTTTGGTTTCCAAGAAATCTCATAAGGGGTAAACTAAAAATGGTTGTCAGTCTGGTTACAAGTTATTTCATAATAGATCACCCAAAATGGCAGTCACTTTGTTTATAGTCTGCTTATACTTCCTATTAATGTAGAATGATTTCAGACTTACTTGTGTGCTGTCATTCCTCCACATGCTTTGAATAGCTTCTCATCTTCATCATTGCCATGGCAACTCTCTGTAGATGAATCACTATCAGATGAAGATACATTACCATGTTGTTCCTCTAGACCATCTCTCAATGTTGATGACTAATGAAAACAGAAATTTACAGATAACTTAATAATATAAACTGAACTGAGCTCTAATTTGTGTATAATTTGTAAAAGTAAATGTTTGTTTTTTCAAACGAATGCAATCCATTTAAAACATGAGATAAGTGAAATTTGACAGATCAGATGATTATGATAAAGGTATGGAAGTACATGTATGTTGTTTGGTTCACTACAGAGAATTTCATGAAGGCATGAATGCTTTCTTATAGTAATTTTTAAATTATATTTATGATTCCATCACTATACTATAAAACCAAAATTTTATGTGAAGCATTTTTCTGTTATAGTTAATCTGAGATATACTGTGAAACATGTCTTTTTCGCGAATTTAGCGAGAAAACTAATTCGCTAATTTAAGATGTCACTAATAATTTCATTATAAAATCAAAATGGCGGCCAAACAACCTCTTTTCCTCCACACACACTTTGTAAACAACACAGGAAACGTAATAATCTGGAGCGCATCCTTATTACACTTGACAGTTTTTCTTTGTTTTTATGGAGGTGATAACTGCACATTTGTTTTGACAGGTGACAGACAAGTATTGTGAAAACAGGAAATAAACAAAGACAAGAGAGATTCGCTAAATCAACATTTCGTTATTACGTCATTTTACTACAATTCGCTAAAATAGTATGTCGCTTTATCAACACGTTTTACAGTGCACACTGGAATCTTTGAGTTGATTTCTGTATTATAGTTATAATGCCACGCCTTCTTAAATTGATAGACCCACTAGGTTAGTTGTGTTTAGCACAACCCCCTCTCCTTCCAAAGCAGAATATAGCAATATATGGTATAATAACAATAGTATTAATGAATAATTCTATAAAAAAACTTGTTGGCTTTTCAATCAGTATAACTTGCAAATCAGATCTGATTGTTATCCATGTTACTCAAAATTGAAAGTCTGAATAACAGGGTACTATAGTATATGCTCTATTAGTGGAATTCATGTTTGTTTAAGATCTTTAAGATCAAATAAAAATTGTTTGAGATATCTTAATATTTGAGATTGCTGGTTGCCATGGAGACCTCTGCTTACCTTAATAAACCTACCATATAGCATGTCTTTATCAGCAAAAGTTTTAGAGACTTTCTTTGTAGTAATATGTGTACTGTTTCCACATTTAACTTCAACACCATCCTATAATGAACAAGCCATGCATGGCACAGTCCCTGTTAGTTATCAAATTTAACATAGTTAGGTTTACAGTAATATAGTTGGAACATAAATATGGATCAAAAAGCTGATGCTTGATTATAATTTTATAACATTAAAATGACTGATATTCAGTCATCTTGTATCTGATCATCAAACAAGAACTTGTCCATAATGATAGATATTGCTCTGGAACAGCATTAATTGAAACAAGCCATGCATGGCACAGTCCCCGTTAGTTATCAAATTTAAGATATATATTTTTGTTTATACAATGTAGTAATATAGCTAGAATATAAACATGTCAGGAATATGATTTTTTAACATTAAAATGATTGACATTTGTATCTGATTGTCAAACGAGTATTGAAAGATATTGCTCTGGAACAGCATTAATTAAAACAAAATCAGCCATTTTGAATACATGTATAATGAATATTCAAAATTTGAACATAATCAGTCACAGAAAGTCAGAGATCTGGCACTATAGAACCACATTCATTAAAACAAAATGGCCGCCAGTCAGCCATTTTGAATCTTATCAGAAAAACAAAATTATGTGCATCAAAGTCCTATAATGTCCAACATATATACCAAGTTTGAACAAAATCCATATGTAAACAGCCAAGAAATGCTTGAATTTGATGAACTGATAGTGATACATGTAACATGGGCTGATACAGAAATACGTGCAACATGGGCTGATACAGTAATACATGTAACATGGGCTGATACAGTGATACATGTAACATGGGCTGACACAGAAATATGTGCAACATGAGCTGATACAGTGATACATGTGATATGAGCTGATACAGTAATACATGTAATATGAGCTGATAGTGATACATGTAACATGAACTGATAGTAATACATGTAACATGGGTTGATACAGTGATACATGGAAAATTGGTTGATACAGTAATACATGTAATATCAGCTGATAAAGTGATACATGTAACATGAACTGATAGTAATACATGTAACATGGGTTGATACAGTGATACATGGAAAATTGGCTGATACAGTGATACATGTAACATGAACTGGTACAGTGATACATGTAACATGGGCTGATACAGTGATACATGGAACATTGGCTGATACAGTGATACATGTACATGGAACAATGGCTGATACAGTGATACATGTAACATGGGCTGATACAGTGATACATGGAACATTGGCTGATACAGTGATACATGTAAAATGGGCTGATACAGTGATACATGGAACATTGGCTGATACAGTGATAAATGGAACATTGGCTGATACAGTGATACATTTAACATGGGCTGATACATGGAACATTGGCTGATACAGCGATACATGTAAAATGGGCTGATACATGGAACATTGGCTGATACAGTGATACATGTAAAATGGGCTGATACATGGAACATGCGCTGATACAGTGATACATGGAACATTGGCTGATACAGTGATACATGGAACATTGGCTGATACAGTGATACATGGAACATTGGCTGATACAGTGATACATGGAACATTGGCTGATACAGTGATACATGGAACATTGGCTGATACAGTGATACATGGAACATGAACTGATACAGTGATACATGGAACATTGGCTGATACAGTGATACATGGAACAATGGCTGATACATGGAACAATGACTGATACAGTGATGCATGGAACATTGGCTGATACAGTGATACATGGAACATGAACTGATACAGTGATACATGGAACAATGGCTGATACAGTGATACATGGAACATTGGCTGATAGATACAGTGATACATGGAACATTGGCTGATACAGTGATACATGGAACATTGGCTGATACAGTGATACATGTAACATGGGCTGATACAGTGATACATGGAACAATGGCTGATACAGTGATGCATGGAACATTGGCTGATACAGTGATACATGGAACATTGGCTGATACAGTGATACATGGAACATTGGCTGATACAGTGATACATGGAACATTGGCTGATACAGTGATACATGTAACATGGGCTGATACAGTGATACATGGAACAATGGCTGATACAGTGATGCATGTAACATTGGCTGATACAGTGATACATGGAACATTGGCTGATACAGTGATACATGGAACATGAACTGAATGATACAGTGATACATGGAACATTGGCTGATACAGTGATACATGGAACATTGGCTGATACAGTGATACATGGAACATGAACTGAATGATACAGTGATACATGGAACATTGGCTGATACAGTGATACATGTATGTAACATAGATGAATATCAGCAAGATAATATTAATCTCTTCACTTACATCTTTGCTTTCAACTACAATATTATTGGCAGCTTTATTGAAAACATGATTCCACCATTGGAAAGTGAACTGCTCTCCATGGTCCACACCCACCTACAATAGAATGCAAATATTTGGCATGTAAAAGTCAAATATAGTAAAACAAATAATGATTCATTATTTTTTTTTTAAAACCTGCCTGACCTGTATATATACCATAAATGTATGACATGTCCTCAGAGTCATCCAGAGGCTTGCTGAAAGGATTGCCATACATACATGTACAGCACACAATCCAAATTCATGTAAACAGTGTATGTACTTTACATAGATTGTATGGTACCCATATTCAACATACACTTTATAAAGTGAAGACTTCCAGTCACTGGTAGCATAGTGCTAGTGCAATTGATGAATTATTAGTGGACTTCAGTTCAATTCTTACCTGGGATTGAAAACAAAGAACTGTCAAACTCTAATCTGCATGAGTGTGCTACAGAACCAATGGGAAGGCTAAATCCACCGGGCAAGATTCATTGACTGACGAATACGACTTTGAGGGAACCTTGATTAAGGTCTGCAGGTGCTTGTGTTCGACCGGGACTGGTTGATGGAAGGGTAGCGCATTAAATTCCCATTAGATAGGGAGATGTCATGTAGTCCCATACACGGGATATGGCTTCTGTGACAAAAATGCACAATGTGTAGTTGTCTAGCAAAGAAAAGTGAACACCAGGACCTCTGTTGTACTAGTTCACTTACAGTTTATTAAACCAACAAATATTTGGGTTTGATTATAATATAATGTTAGAGATTACTCACCCCAGCTTTGTCATTTTTAATTTTGACTTTTATTGCTTCTGTGATTCCAGACTCATTCTTGCCAAGTCCTGACCCTTTAAACCAAGAAAAGATAATTAAAAACAAACGAGTAATACATGTACACTGACAAGTGATGTTATCAAAACTATAGATGATTACAGTCTCGGTATAACCTAAAGCAGAGGAGTTGTGACATGAACATGTGGCAAATGGTCATAGCATCTCGTTTACAAACAAGCGTCTATGCCATGAGCCTCTATATTTGTTGTTGGCATACATTGCACAGGTACCACCCTAGACTGGCAAAGTCAGGACTACTTTTTGGTTTTACAAAAGAAATAATTAATTGTTTTAGGTTTTTTTAGCGTTATCGCAAAAACTAACATGACCGTGAAAGAATCCTGAATGAACGCATCTGCGGGCATTTGACTGCTATTAATTATTCATGATGTCATTGATTATTCATGAGTGGGTGTGTTAACATGACCTTTTAAAGGTTGCGTCACATTGCAAATGGCGGACAAGTCACAGAAACATGTGAATGTTCTGCTGCTAGTCACATCTTGTAGTTTAGAACTGAAAATGTAGCTGACACGGAATAAAATGTTGTAATGTAGTGTAGTGCAAGTTAGAATAATGGTGGTCGTGGTGCTGTGTAGTTATTTCACTCTCAAAAATGACAACGTAAATGTGATTCAAACATCAGAGCTGCATTTTGATTCATTGTCAATGCTAGTCAACAACTTTCGCTCTGGTTTTCACACCAACGCAGGGGATTGTCTGCTGATGCATTCAGTCGTCAAATGACCGGATGCACTCACCCTTTGCTGATAGTTCAATTAATTCCTTTTCTCTACAATATATTACTATTTACTTATTTTGTATTTACCAAGTTAATTTTGAAAAATGACACGGAAGAAAAGTGATCCAATGAGAAGCGAAAACTCTGAGTTCCTTATAACAGAAAGCGTACTTTTTACTACAAAACAGAGTCAAACAAGTCAACATGTGAAACACAAGTAAAATCTGCTCCACCACACCGGAGACTGAAGACACCACCGTAACCACACTGAATGCTGATGACACCACACCGTCACTGGAGGCTGACAACACAACAACAAATCATATTAAAATTACCTGGCAACGCTTGCGGTGAAGCAGCCATTTGAAAAGTAACAAGCCTAACACCACAGAAATCATGATTACGCAAAAAAGTTGTAGTCTGATTTCATTGATTTTTTTAGAGATTGAACTCAAGATCAATTGAAAACAAACTGTTAAATCGTTTTCAAGTATCATTCTTTTCAAGTATCAAGTTCTTCTTCAACGCTTTGTAAAAGAACTGAACAATTACCCAACCCCCAACAACATGACCTAGCCATGTAATATTCCTCCAGAGTGACATGCACAATTCTCATTTTTATCAAAATCAAAAATGGATAACCTATGTGTATTATTTTATAATACTTTTATGAGTGGGTTGGGGAATGTACCAGCTTTAGGTCCTTTTTATTATCCAAGAAACGTACCGAATGTTGTGCTGTTGCTACCTTTAAAATGTCACTATTCTATTCATTTGTCGAAGCTTTACTAATTATTTGGAACTTGTTGAAAATGCGCCTAAAAATACTTTTAAAAAATAGACCAATGGCCTGTTGCTCAACGGTTATTGTACAAAAGATTAGTGCTGTATATGACAAATACCCCAAAAGGCAGTGAGTGAGACAATAAAACATAATGCTAAAAGTGGATTTTTTTACAAAAATAACAGAAATATTCAATAAAATTAGAATCAAAGAGAGCTTAAAAAGAACTCCAGCGTGTTGAGAGAATAACATAACATGATATTTGCAATTATCTGAATTCGTAATACATGTATATACCAAGTTTTGTTGAAATATGTTGAATAGTTCTTGAAATAGCACCCAAATAGCTTGAATTTCACGAGCTGATATGCAAATTAGATAATTTGCATTAGTTTGCATAAATTACCACCAAAAACTAAATATATCTGGAGACTGCCCCAACACATCTATGCACCGAGTTTCATTGAAACATATTAAATGGTTCTCAAGATATCACCAAAATAGCCTAAATATTGGTATGTAAATTAGGCAATTTGCATAATTTTCCACCAAAATCAATCATGTACATGTATATACACATTTAAATATGTTGAGTGGATATGTTTTTATTACAATCACAATAGACCAATCAAAGAAAACTTAGAACTCCCATGTGCTATGTGAGAATGAGAAACAGTTGACAGAACAAATGGGGAACATTACATCTCCCTGTGAGCATATAATTTCAATATGGCATCATTGTATAATCTTCCAAAGTTTTGTCCATTTTCCGACAACTTTAGTGCATTAAGCAGAAGGTTTCTGAAACTTTTGATAAATTTGGACACTTATAATGACTGGGTGAAGTGTCATGTGTATCAAGTATGTATCAAAGAATTTGGACTCTGGTTTTGAAGAACAAGTCAAAAGTACTATTTTTGATGAAAAATGACAAAATATTTGCTAAAAATAGAGAATTGAAGATGTCAACACAAAATGAATAAATCTGATAGAGGTCCACCCAACGTATATACCATGCTGGTTTGAGAGCAATCGGACTACCAGTTTCGGAGAAGAAGTCGAAAATAGCATTTTTGACCAAACATGACAAAAACTATTTGCTAAAGAAAGAAAATTGAAGATATGGACATGAAATGAACAAATCTGATAGAGGTCTACCCAAGGTTTATACCATGCGAGTTTGAGTGCAATCGGACCATCAGTTTCAAAGAAGAAGTCGAAAATAGCATTTTTGACCAAAAATTACCATTTTAAAAAATTTGCAAAAATTAGGAAATTGCAAGCACTTCAAATGCCTATCCAAGCAACAGTTATAATTAAAACAAAATTAAACCACTGCAATATTATTTCGAATACAGTTTAGAATATACACAACTACATGTATAAATTAAGGCCGCATTTAGGTTCGCTTTAAATGTCTGAAAAATGTAAATAATGTTTTCGGAAGACGTCATTGTGAAGTGTCTGGTCTCCTAAGCAAATATTAACTAGCCATGCATGGCACAGTCCCCGTTAGTTATCGAATTTAAGATATATATAGTTTTGTTTATAGTAACATAGCTGGAATATAACCATGTCAGGAATATGATTTTTTAACATTAAAATGATTGACATTTGTATCTGATCGTCAAACAAGTACTTGTCCATATTGAGAGATATTGCTCTGGAACAGCATTCAAAATCAGCCATTTTGAATACATGTATATATATATTTAACATAATGTATAACGAATATATAAAATTTGAATATAATCAGTCAAAGCAATTAAGAGATATGGCTCTAGAAGCCCAATCATTAAAACAAAAAGGCCACCAGACAGCCATTTTGAATCCGATCTGAAAAATAAATGATGTGCATCAGGAACCTGTAATGTCTAACATATGTACCAAGTTTGAACAAAATCCATCCATAAATGCTTGATATTTGATGATTTTTTTGGACAAAAAATGGCCACCATTTGGCCATTTTGAATAGGATCGTCAAACCAATACAGTATATCTGTCTATCTATGACATGATGTATAATGAATATTTAAAATTTGAACATAATCAGTGAAAGCAAGTCAGAGATATGGCACGAGAACTACATTCATTAAAACAAAATGGCCGCCAGTCGTCCATTTTGAATTTATCTGAAAAACAAAATTATTAGCATCAAGGTCCCATAATGTCTAATGTATATACCAAGTTTGAACAAAATCCGTCTGTTAACAGCTGAGAAATGCTTGTTTTTGATGATTTTTAGCACCAAAATGGCTGCCATTCGGCCATCTTGAATCAGATCGTGAAACAAATTGACGTGCATATGTATACTATCATGTATGATGTATGTGTGAAGTTTGATTGTGATTGATCCAGGCATTTCTAAGATACAGGTCCCGACGCACGCACAGACGCACGCACGCACGCACGGACACACGAAGGTCAAAACACAAGTCCCCGTTTTCGGACTGCGTCCGAACGGGGACTAAAAAGTAAACGATCGTGTTCTCCTATACCTAAGCTTTCTGGAAACATATATTACAAGTTGTACACAGACAACATATCTCAACGCGGGTCATTAACTTACATCTTCAAGCTCAGTTTGACCCGGTACATACAATATTTCACAACGAGCTCTATACTATTACTGTAGTTTTTGACGACGACGATCGCCAAGAGAATACTTATTTTGCGAGTCATATGCCATCGTGTACTATTGTCTATAAAATAAAATACATTCATAATCATACATCTTACTGCAGTAAAATAATACAAGTACCTGATTTCCAGCCGTGTTTTTCAAGTTGACAACGTGCGAATTCGCTGTTGGCCATTTTGTAAGTCACCTGACTAATCACGTGACTAAATAGCATGTCAAAGTTTAAAATCCTAACATGGGTTGGAAGCATTTGTACTTTCCAGAGGGTCGGCAAGGGGTATTTTCGTAACTTTATTTTGTTTATCCACAGTTTTTATATAGAGGATCTGTGATTCATCGTAACTTCGGTGGCGGCCATTCATTTATTTTAGAAGCCATTCAAAAAGATATGCAGCAAAAAGGTCTGCATAGAGCAAAAAAAATAGTCTCAATTAATTATAAAAAAAAGTAGACATCGGCTTATAGCAATGTTGGAGACGTAAGTACTGTAAATTTCACGTTGTAGAAGACAATTTGCTCTTTATTACACACGTCTATTTATGAAACTAACAGATGGTAATTATATTTTTTGTTATTGCCAGAGAAAATCATTTCAAAAAACTACCAGTTGCCCCAAAATAAACTTATTTTTTTATTCTTTTTTAGCACTCCTAGTTTTGCAACTTCCTCAGTTCTTCATCTTTATTGTAATTTTCTTTTTTCTGAGTCAATACTCAAATAAGGATAGAATTATACAGATTATTATTATTACTTGTGTCCCGGCTGGAAGGTCAGTCGGTGAGGGCGCAGTAACTCACGGCGCGATGTCATGTTCGAGGTCCAGTCATATGCCAGACCACTTAGAAGCAAGTGGCAGCGTTTGATCATAGTTGAACAGTGCCTGTAAGATGGGTTATGTTTGCACGAGTTGAATGGTTCGGTGTATATGTTATGCCATTGCACCATGCAAAAACGTGCTCCGGTAAGTCATTCCCTCGTCCTTAAATCGATAGTCCGTCGAACATTTCTGCCTTGTCACGTGTGCGCTTTCATTCCATATTTACATGTGTTGTACGCACAACAGCGACTTGTGCAGGTAATACATTGTGATTGTGACATATTACGAATTTATTCCAATCTTGTTTCACAAACTTGGGTCACTAGGTGCATGATGTTAAGCTTCACCTTCCTATCAATTTTTATTCAAAACATCTCAATATCTCTTGGAAGATTCTTGGCAGTGTTTATACATGTACCTTTTTATATTTCTTCTTTAATTTTATTATTTATTCAAATTACTAATACTAATCAACCTTTCAAGTGGTTTTAAACATATGCATGTATGTAGTATCAGGCACTCTGAATATCATATTTTCAGCTTATTATAATTATTATCCTAGCAATTTGGTCAAACACATTAAATCATGGTCATTAGTTTTGAATCGATAATCGTGTTCAAGCTACACCAAGAACGGGTGATTTAAGCTACACTCGTGTGCTTATACATATACATGTAGGCTAGACCCAATTGCGTTCATGCATGCTTCGTTATAGCCCGTGCTAAGTCTGGACCAGGTTTTAAAAACTGATCAGATTTAATCTGTATTAAGCAATTCTTAACCCATGCTATTAAGTGTTCTTAACACAGGCTAATGTTTTTGAACTTTTAGCCCATGCTAAGGAACTATGCACAAATGCAACTAATCTATCAAGCATGAGCAATGCTGAGGCAGAAATTGTTGTTAGTTGTTCAGTAAATGTCAAAGATTATTGAACTCACTTCACACAGAAGTATTTTCTAGCAACTTTTGTTAAATAATCCAATAAAATAGTGATAGCAAACTGTATGCAACTGAAACCTTATACTACTATAGGAATTTCTGAGCATTATTGATTTATATAATAATTCTTTTTGTTTGTTTTTTTCTAATCAAATATTATGTTTTTCACATTTAGCCACTGTTGAGGAAATCTATACCTATTAAAAATGAGCAAGTACCAACAGTCAGTAACATTATGAAAACTTCACCCTGTATACGGAAAAGATCTGCTCCACCACCAGTAGCTCCATTGGGTCAGAGGTCAATGTCACCTGCCAATGTCACAAACACTATGTCAATTTATAGGGGTTCACTGCTACACCAACCTAGTATTAGTCGTGCAACTAGCATTGACAGTAGCTTTGTAACCACGGAAACTCGATACCAACAATATGAACATCATTCTCCTCGCTTTCTGCATCGTAGTATTTCAACATCCTTTGAACAATCTCGTTCTCAAAAAGAAGGTTTTTCATCAAACAAAATGTTAAGGGAAGTTAGCTTTACAAGTAATTTGGGAGTTGATATAAATACTTCCATTTGTAGTCCTGCAAGGATGACAAAGGGAGATAATTCCATTCAGACTCCTGTGAGGGTTAGGGAAGTTGACAGTTCTTCTATTTGGAGTCATACGATGAAAAGGAAGGAAGGTGGAGATATTTCCATTCAGACTCCTGTGAGGGTTAGGGAAGATGACAGTTCTTCTATTTGGAGTCCTACGAGGAAAAGAAAGGAAGGTGGAGATATTTTCATTCAGACTCCTGTGAGGGTTAGGGAAGTTGACAGTTCTTCTATTTGGAGTCCTACGAGGAAAAGGAAGGAAGGTGGAGATATTTCCATTCAGACTCCTGTGAGGGTTACGGAAGATGGCAGTACTTCTATTCAAAGTCCTGCAAGGAGGAGGAAGGGAGATGGAGATATTTCCATTCGGAGCCTCACTGGAAGACACAGAAAGAGAATTACTGACAATAGTGATCAAGATGTTCAACCATTGGGATCAAAACAAGTGACTAAAAGGAAGCTTTTCTATTGTGTTGTCTTAATTGCTTTTGCTTCAGTCCTTATAGTTACTGTGCTGTTTGCTTCGCACCCTGCTGTCAACTCTGTTACAATGTCTATGATATCAGCTATGTATTCTACAGTTAATTCAGTGCCAAGTCCAGAGTTTATATATTCCCACACAGGCATTACACAAGTATTTGTTAAATCAGTGTTTGGTCAAGACTTAGTTAATCAAATTTTACCATCAGCGATATTGAAATACATGTATAATGATGTTACTAAACCTTTGGTGTTGTCATTTCATGGTTGGACAGGCACTGGTAAAACATTAGTTACGAGTGTACTCATTGAAGAGTTGTTTATAAAACATAATTTAGACAGGTGTGCGCATAGATTCATTTCGTCTTTGGATTTTGCATCTGAAGACAACTATAAAGTTTATAACACTGCCATTATGAATTTCATTAATTCTACTGTCAAATGTAAAGTCAGGTTATTGGTATTTGATGAAATTGATATTATACCGAAACAGATGATTCCAAGATTGCATGCTTTGTTCAGTGATAACTCCCATCTTAGTCAGATTGGGAAATCAATTTGCATCTTAGAAAGTAACTTGTTTGGTCATGAAATTAATAGATTCATGGTTAAACAGTATTTTACAAGATCATTCGATTCTACTGTTTCTGTTTCTAGTATTACAGAATATATAAAACAGACAAGATCTGCGAGGGAAAACTTTGCATACAATGTTGATGGTGAAAGTGTTGAAGGTTACTTGTGGTACAGTGAGTTAGAGTCAGTCATAGACCAGTTTATACCATTTTTACCAATGACAAAGGAACATGTCAGACAATGCATCCTCAACAGTTTACGGGAAAAAGGTATATCTGCTGGAATTAATATTGAAACTATACTTGATCAATTACAGTATTTCCCTGCTGATAGTAAATTGTTCTCTGTCAGTGGGTGTAAAAAAGTTTCGGCTCAAGTTGATGTTTTCCGTACATAATGCTGCAGTTTTAGGTTTCTGTTCATCCAATGTAATGTAACAGAGCAGCACATCATACTATAGTGTACGTTCTTTAAACTGGAATTTACTGTGGCAGTAAAAATTCACTTGCTAATTTCCATAAAATTTGGATAATTATTCTGAAAATTGTGATGATTTCTTTACTTTTTAAACCACACACAATTCATTTAAAGCGGGGGAGTCATCACCTGTGCATGTGTCAGATGGCCATAGCGTGTCATTGTTTACAAACAAGAATCTACCCATGAGCCTTTGTGGTTTTAGCATGTATTGTTATCATTGCTTGAAATTATTACCGTGTATGCGCAGGTGACGACCCGCTTTAAGAAGCTCAATTTACAATTTAAAAAATCAGCAATGGTACAGTGGAAATAAACTACTGTTACAGTGAGGACAATGTCAGTATTGGTCCATTGTTGTAGAGTACATTCTGTCTATTATCTTGAGATTTTTAAAAAGATGTGAATAATAGACTAATGAATCAGTTTGGAGGGCAGTGGACGGGCCTTGCATACAGGTCAGTCTAAGTAAGCAATTTTCTGACTGCCAATCAGTGATGACACAGAAATCTGTTCAGTTTAATATTTATAAAGCAATTCATCAGACCATACTTAAGTGCACTGGGAAGGGTACTCTGAATGCTGGAGTCTGGGCTATAATTGTGTTTGTAAAACAAATCACTGTGGAGGTACTTTTTGTATCCTGGAAAAAAACAAACACTGCATTAAATGGCTAATCATGAAAATAAACAATTAGTTAAAATGGTATATTTTGAGTTTCATGTTTTGAAGTGAAATGTATATATATATATACAATGAATAGCACAATGTATACAATGTACCAGTATAGTAAAGTGGTACAGTTTATTGTAAAAGACACGATATGTCAAAGATGTATTGACAATTTAATCGAAGATGAGAAACATTTGCTATTAACTTGTCCAAAATATGATACTGAATAAAAAATATTCTTTAATAAAATTAAAACTTAAGACGCTAAAAATATATTCATATATTTACTTTCTAGTAGAGATACTAACATTAATTTAAATTTAACAGATTATATATGTACAACAGAGAGGCTCTTGAACTAATATTATTTTATTCACATAAATTCTATCATATTTCATAAAATATCACTTTATAACCCAATGTATTTACAAGAAGGCAATAAAGTTATTATTATATTGGAATTTAAAAAAAATAAAATGGCATCAGCACATCACTTACCAACAATGTGAGCATTTGGAAAGCAAGGATATTTACTCGTAAGTCAAAGACGTGTGCTAACAATTTTAGAAAAAAATAAAAGGTGATTTGTTCTGTTTTTAAAATTAATAGTAAATGA